ACAACATTAATTGAATAATAATCCTCAATCAGTTTTGAAGGCGTATTCTTTTTTTATAGATAAATAAACTTCAAAACAAAGAAAACGTTTAGATAAAAAATTAATAAATAAGACTAATAAGAATTAAACACGGCAATAATAAACTATATTTCATACAACTTTCGTGGTTATTTCTAAATTTATGAGGACATTACATCCAACCCAAAGAAGGTGATGAAAGGGTGCTATATTCTTTGTTGAGCTCACTTAATCCGAAATGCTAAAGACTTTTGAAAAAAAAGGCCGATAATTTTAGAAGTCAAATAATAAGAATTTTACTCAAATTGATTGGTTCCACAATCACTAGTTGGGATTTTAGACAAAGAGAAGAATCTAACGTGGGTAATACCAGAAGTATACTCGTACCATGAAAACCTGTGGCGTGCACAGACAAGGTTTAATGAATGGTAGAAGGTGTGCGCAGAGGACAAATATTAGAGCAGCCCAGTGGCGGATTTGCCAATAGGCCCTGTAGGCCCGGGCCTAGGGCGGCCAGATATTTGGGGCGGCCAATCGTAACAAAAAATTCACTGATGATATCAAGAAGTAACTGAGTACCTAATATTCTAAAGACTCGCGCTCATTATGGCGGGCCTCATTGCACTACATCATACAACAATAATCTTACTAAATCACTTTCTTCATTTTATGTATAAAATATAGATATGTATATCAACGGTATAATGTAATGTTTAATAAAATATAACGTATTTTCGTACATTTAAGTGATTTAGGAAGAATATACTGTTATACGCGCCAGCTTAAAAACACTAGTAGTGATACTCGCAACGCGACGTGTACGAGTATATACTTATTTATTAACAAGTAGGCAATACAACGGCCTACAAGCTAAAATAAAGGAATTATCTCCTCTTGCCGAGTATGTTCCCTGTTCAGCACACTCACTCAATTTAGTGGGTAAATGTGCAGCTGAAACCAGCCAAGAGGCACGTTCGTTCTTTTCTCTACTTCAAGAGCTGTATAATTTCTTTGCAGCGTCAAATCACCGTTGGTATCTCCTGCAAGCCCATTTCACCGTCAAAAGTCGATCAACGACTCGTTGGTCAGCTCGTGCAGACGCATGCAAAAGTTTAGGCAATTCGTGGAATAAAATCCATAAAGCGAAGTTTAGAGTTAGTTATATGCGAAGGAAGAGGTATTCGTGTGAAATTGGAATGTTTTGAAACGGCCATCATGACTGCGTTTTGGGGATGTTTACTGGATCGTATTAACGCCACAAAAAAAAAAACCTCAGTGTGGAAATTGACATTACCATTGTCGTAGAACTGTACGAGGTACTAATACATTTTATTGGTGAAACACTAGATAACTTCGATGATTTGTACAGTAAAATGAAAGAGATGCTCGACGCAATCGTAAGCTACTTCATAGCAAGGCTAATACAGGTGAAGAGATGTAACAAAAGAACTGTCGCGAAAATTTCAGAATCACCACTTTTTTGATAATAATTGATACATTGTCAGAAGAGCTCAAAAAATGGCGTGCTTATAGACTATTCTACAATAAATTTAATTTTATTACTAACTTGACGAAACTAAGCGCGTCTGAAGTCGAAGAACAGGCCGAAGCATTGTAAATGGTTTATTCTACTGATGTAGGAGACAACTTTTCAGAATGTCAATTTTCGTGCTCACTCCAGTGTAAAAAATGAGGATCGAAAAAGTGCTATCAGTTTGCTGAAATGGTTACGAACCAAAGGTCTTCAAACCATTTACCCAACCGTGGATATTGCTCTTCGCATGTGTGTGTGTGTGTATGAACGACTGTTTTCTTGTTTGCAACCAGTTAAGAATTATTTATGCACGAAGCAAAGGCTGAACGATCTTGCTTTGCTTAACATACAATCAGATTTTTTTAAAAAATTGGACTGTGAAGACTTAATGATTTTGCTGCGTTTAAGTCTAGACGAGTTTTGTAACATTATTAAATACTTATTTTTTATTGTATTAGAATGAACCTATAGTTAAACTAGTTGAATAAATAAACACTTAAGCCGTTTTAACTGTTTTATGTAAATGTGTAATTATCCTTAAAACCTTGGAAGGTATTACAAACTAGTAAGTATCATCATCACTTGACTAAATTTCTGAATCAACTTCGATCAAAGTTGGCAATCAAGTAAGTTATGTATTCTATATAATGAGTACTCAGAAAGGGGCGGCTACCTAGTCTCGGGCCTAGGGCGGCCAAGACTGCAAATCCGCCACTGGAGCAGCCGGAAGAATATTATCCTAATCACAAATATAGACTTTTTCGAAGCAGACTGTCTGGCACTCCGCTTTGAACATCCAAGGGAGAACTATCGGTACTTATTGGCGTGTGCATGTAGATTACGACGTTATGTGTTGGATTTCTTTTATGGTAGACTAGGTGTTTTGAAGATTGTTTTTTATATTCAATTTGTGAGTGTAAAAGTTTCGGAGATTGAAGATGACTTATTTTATGAGTCAGCGTTAGCATTGAAGTTGGTATTGTTCTTTTTCTGTTTTGATAATCTGAGATATAACGCATATGTGTTTAATTATATTAATCAAATGTTGCTCCTAGATCGATTGCAAAGTATTACCCCACACTTCTATTCATATTTTAATTTAATCTATGATAACAATGTTTTTCTTAAAAGAGATAAGAACCAGAACAAGGTTATCCATAGCTAGGGCCGCCAGATCGTATATAATGGTTTTCAGTGAAAATGAGGCTGGGGAAGTCACTTTACCTCTAAGTCAGCTGATAAATCGAGTAGCAGAGGCCACAGGTGTATCACTCAGAGTGAAACGCATTGTGAAAGAAGGTTCGATCAAGCCCATAGTTTCTAAACCAAGTCCGAAATCAAAAGTGGACAGATTTGATGCAGAGATAATAAGGGAAATAATTTATAAATTTGTCTATATAAGCGGCGGCCAATCATAAAAGCCGTTTATGAAGCTGCAAAAAATGATGAGGTAAACCTTGCGGGAAAAATCAGGTCCTTCAGAAAAATTGTTGATAAATTAGGTTTTCTTTGGAAAAAACTGAACGATAATAGGAAACTATTGATTGAAAAACAAGATATTCGTTTAAAACGAATTGAGTTTTTAAGGAAATTGAAGAAATACAAGGAAAAAGGTATGTTATGATATGTTTTCAGTCCATTCAGCGATATATCTATCAAAAAATTGTCATAAACCTTAATAGATGTCTTAGTTTATACTTGAAAATTTTTTATTGGACATGTGACCCAAAAAATATAAAATTTAAGCGTTAAGGTACATGAAACAGTTTGCTCTAGAGGAGACCTTTTCGCAGGTAGGAAAATTGTATACAGCGATGAGAGTTACATTCACAGCTCTCATACAGTGCCAAAGTCCTGGGACGATGGGACAAATACCTGTCTGAAAGCACCACTGGTCAAAGGAAAACGATTAATTCTGTTGCATTGTGGGATAAAAAAAGGGCTTTGTACCGAATGCAGAACTTCTCTTCAAATCAGGTTTGAAAACTGGTGGTTACCACGATAATATGTACTATAAAAACTACATGAGATGGGTTAAAGAAAAATTGATCCTAAACTTAGAATCTAATTCAGTTCTAGTGATAGACAACGCCTCTTACCACAATGTACCGGTAGAGCCGAATCCAGCTTCTGCTTGGGAAAAGGCTGACATGCAGAAGTACCTTGCCGAAAGAAATATATTCTTCAAAAGCAAAGAAACTAAGCCCGAGCTGTATAAAAAAAATCCAACAGCACAAACCCTTAAGCCCGAACAATGCTGTCGATAAAGTTTTGGCTGAGCATGGTCATTCTGTTTTGCGGTTACCACCATACCATCCAGAACTGAATCCTATCGAGAAGATATAGGGCATAGTCAAATCCGAGGTGGCAGCTCGTAACACCACCTACAAGATGGATGATGTCCTGGCAATCGCGAAACAAGTACTAGCCGAAGTTAGCGTGGAGGCATAGGATCGCACCTACAACTATGCTGAAAAGATCGGAGAGGATTACTTGAGCCGGGAATATGTAGTGGATGAGGCCCCATTATTGAACTTGATGAAAACAGTGATGAATCTGACCTAACGATTTCATCAGATGAGAGCTCTGATGACTTGGGTTGTCAGCCGCTGGCAGGTAGTTTGCTTGACGCTTGATTCAAGGATGCATTCATAAGTTTGGCAGCTATCTACGCTAATGATTCCATAACAAGCCACCGACGCGACTACGGCGAAACATACAATGAGGAACGATTATAAGCCAGTCATATTAGCTCTAAGCATGACATTGAACACTTAAATAGTAGGTTAACAACGTTTCGTAAGGGAATCAAATGAATTGAATTTCATTCTCAATGAATCGAGAATACGCGTTCTGTTATGTTGTATCACCACACCAAATTACTTAATAAATAGAAGTGTGACAAAAATTACAGAAATAATTTGACTGGCCTACACACACCTAGAATAATTTACGTTTTTAGCCACGGCCATGGCCCACGACGTTTTAAAACACCTTCTACGCTTCTGATTGAGGATAAGACGATTATTCTGTTAATGCTGTAATGTAATAACATAGCTTTCTTCGCATACTATAGAGTGATTCCAATATTAAGTTTCATGGTGTTTCCAAAATAGGTGAGGCTAAACCTTTTCATAAGAATATTTTACGCTGTGTGTTTATTGCTAATGATGTGCTCATTGAACGTCTAAAATCCTAACTCAGTATCTTTACCCGCTCCCGTTTTTTTTTAAATTTCGGGAATAAAACATCATCACCCTGTACCTCGACAGGGGAGCATATTCAGATTCATATTTATACGGATCTTTTTGTTATTTTTGAATGTACTTTCTAACCATTGGCACGTCCTTCTGGAACACCCTGCATTCTTTAATCGACTTGACGACGTCAGCTATTTCCATTCGAGGCTAATAAACTTGCAAAGGACACTGGTTTATTTTCTTTAATCCTCCTAAAGACATTGAATTCGATTCGTTTATTGTTTTCAGTCAGATTAATTTCAGGATGGGAATAAAAATGTTGAAAAGACCGCAGTTTAATCTAACTTTGAAATAAAGCACTGGAATGCCACATTGATGATATATTTTCTATGGTAGCACAGCACTAATATCTAACAAGCAATGCAGTAATTGCATCCTAGTGTATTTAAAAATAAATACTAAAATACCAAAATAAACTAGGATGGTAAAGACATGTTCCGTTTTGCTTTAAGCTTTAAGCTGCCCCCTTGCTTATACACATTGGCCAAAAATCATGTTTTCGAAAATTATCGCCAGCATGATTACATAGTTGTAAATATGGAAAGTTTAATATTTGGCAGTTTACATTACAGTATGTTCTTTTTTCGATAATCATATTTTGGACTCTTGATCGTTAATTCTGTTGCCATTGTGAATGGATATAAACCACATATGTATGGTACATAATAAAACAATGCAAGACTCATGGATAAATGCATCTTAAACCATGCGGTATAATAATCGACAAACATTGATTCAGCCAGTTTATAATATGTAATTAACAAATATACCTTTTAAATATAAAAAGTTCTCTCAAAAAAGTGAAAATTTGATAAGAAACCCAAATATAATAAAAATTTAAAACAACCAACATTTCCTAACCCAATTAAATAGCACCAATAACATCGTAACCAGAATTCTTGTTACATTAATGAATTGGATTAAAAAATGTTAATAAAAAACCCCACATCTCAACCTGCAATACATTCAATAGGAATACTTAGTTTGTAGAAAAGATTAAACATTGAAGTTTTCTCGCTTACGTCAAAAAGTTCTACAAGTCATGAAATGCTTCAAAATAATGTAATGCCCAAGTAATCTATTCTTCTGGTGGATTCAACATAAAGGCTTAATTTTTCACCACCTTAGCAGTAGATACACCAACTGTAAGTATGCGTTCAAGTTACTCTTCTTGACAAAACGTTTTTTTAAAACATAAATTAAAGCATCTACCTGAAAACGCGGCAACTGCTAAAATTTTCGTGATGATTGAACGTCATAATGTCGTTTCTTTGGACACACCGACGAAATATTTTGACAGAATATGGAAATCAAGCTAATCGTTTTACTGCCAGGGCATGGTTGAACCAATCAGAAAAACTGTGTACGATACGGTACAACTTAGATCTCATACGGTACCATATCAACAATTACAGTATTGTCAAAAACTGAAATCACGGTTTATCCTAAATTCTTTTTATAACTTTTAGACATATTATGAACGTGCATAGATATTTTGAAATCGATAATTTTCTGGTACTTCTCAAGTACAACACTAGAAAACCTGAAATATAATGGACTGATTCAGTTGCAAAAAACGTCTTCCTGTAGTACCCCTTGCCATATTACTTTGGGATGAACAAAACTGGAGAGAAATACTTTACGTCCTTCCATTTTAGACAGTGTTTAGGTAAATATTTTATTAAACTAAGACTAGATCTGACACATATTACCAATTCAAGATAAATACCTCCATCCCTGGTCATTTGCAAACCATCAAGATTTCAGATTTTTGACAATTATACAAAAATATTCTCTCAAGGCATACCTCGACATTTGTAGAACTTGATAAGAAAAATTACAACAGACATGGAATTATTCGGCAGCGACATTGACATAATCAAGAATGTGCTGTTTTACAGAATTGCCATTGCGACAAGGAATCTCCATTTTGATGGGAAAATCTGGCAGTTGGAAACCAGAGTCCACCTCCTTCGTCAGATGAAGATCTGACGGTACTTTCAACATTTCGAAGTGGTCTTCGGTCAGGTTGAGGACATCCTTCAAGAAACTCCTGAAATGAAAATACAGTATGGATATGTCACAATAAGATGGTTTCAACTACGAAATTAATGACAATTAATCTGGAAATCAGATATAGCTATGGTGTGTTAAAGATAAGGATCACATTACGACTTCGTAAGAGATCGAAGTTAAAATGTTGATTAGTTGATAAAAAACTTTCAATTATAATAAAGAGGTCTTCACAGATTTTTAGTACATTTCACTATCTGAAAACCATGATCGAAACGATTTTTTCTGTTCTGTTATACTTATTATATTATTTTTAACACGGCTGGCAGTTACCAACGTTCCCTAAGCACATGGCACTCTAAGAAAAAATGTTGCTACTATTTTTAAGTTATTCTCGAGAAACTCCATGAGAATTTCAAAGTCGGTCTCTTCTCCCAAATTGTGTAACGCTATTTTCTCTAGTTATTATCTTTAAGTAGTGTATACAATAGAGATTTGACTAGAATAATCAAAAACTGTTAAGATTATATTGAATGCCTTCGAGTGCTAAATCAATGACACACGGCCTTGAACAAATTCAATTCAGTAAATTAAGAGATTATGAGTTCGGCACTTCGCATCATTATTATGCAAGAATTCAATTAATGGAGGTTCTTGTTAAATCCCGGCTATTTTCAGAAATAGTCATGGCAACTTTATATTAGGACGTTATAAACATTTTTAGGCAACATCACCAAACTGTATTTGTTTGTTGTATACGAAGGCATAAGTCATATACCGGGTGTTTCAAACTCGACCCTCACCATTGGGATCGCGGAAAGTGTAATAGATACAAAGTCCCTTAAATGGGGGAAAGTTGCGTATATAATGCCGCTTTGAATGTTTCCATACCCAAAGTACTTCCGGAGACGGAAAACCGAATTTTCCCAAAATGAATTTAATTGTCTCCTGACTTAATTTCTAGTAGGGATTCCAAAATAAATTGAACAATAACCTTGCCACATTTTCTCCTCTACAAGTTAGCATAATTAGAATTTCAATGTGACGTTTCGTTTCTTGTCCCCCAGTCTCAACTTTACTTTTTATTACAGACATATTAGATTTTTGCACAGATGAGTGGAGTTTTTAATTCAATTCAAAAATGTCATACATTGACATTGCCAAACTTAAGTTATTTCACAAAAAACAGAATCTCCTAGGTATGCCTTGAAATTATAAGATCTCAAAATCTTTTTTATTTTTCCCGACTTCATTTGAGATGGGATTTGAAAATAAATGCATGTTGTCCTTGTTACTTATTCTCCTCCACAAGATGGCGTAGACAAATTTTCAATTCGAGATTTATTCTTTCGACTTGCATCACCAACTTTTTTTTCATATGGACCCTATATTGGAATTTTGTACATTTAAATGAATTTTTTAGTTCTTAGTTCAATGATATATTTCCTTAGTAGACCATGAATTTGTCGTTGGAAGTAAATTATGAGGAAATAATAATCATTGATCATTATAACAATAATAATCATAAATATGCAGAGATAAACCATAGCAGATGTTCAAAATGTTGTCCGCTATTGTGTAGGCAAAGCCTGCCTCTTCTCTGTACATTGTTCACAACTCGATTTATTTCTCCTCTTCTTCAGTCTTCCAAACTCTGTTATTATGTTCAACTTGGGGTCTGGTCTGGTGTAGGAAACAAATTACTATCTGATAATTTCAAGGCCTTCTTATGAACTTATGTTTTTTTTTCTGGCAATTTCAATGTAAGACATTCCTTTTTGAAACCACAATTAAAAACTCTATTCATCTGTGCAAAAATATGGCGTCCATAAAAAAAAATAGGGATGATGCTCGAGGAAAGAGACGAAACGTCATATTGAACTTCTAATTATGTCATCTTGTAGAGGAGAAAAAGTATCTTGTCTCTCTTCGGAAGTCCTTTAAATTTCGAAACTTTCTGAGCGGCATTGTTAGTTACTAAATACGCAATTTTGCCCTCATAAGCTCTTATAAGCGACTTCGTAACTCTTACCGTTTCCGAGATCCCAATGGTGGGGGACGAATTTGAAACACCCTGTATATTGCTTTTTTGTCACAATTTATTGAATTTCCAGGTATATTTATATGGCCTTGGTACTGTAGCGACACGTGTCTTTGCAGTTTGAACGAAATCTATCTTTTATTACTTGAGATAATCCAGATAAGATTTATATGGAATCTTATGAGAAACAAAAATTTCCCATATTATTTCAGTGTCCCTGAGAAACAAATATTTAGAAATAAATGCTCATAAAAGACTTGAGGGGCATTAAACGTTATCTCGCACTTTGAAGAAGACCCCCTCCTGTTTCTAAAATATTTGACTATGAAGTTGATGTTTTTCCATATTATTTGATTTCATGAAGGAAAACAACCATAGAAATGTTTAAAAAACTGATCACATTGAAGTTGGGAAGCATTAGAATTTATTCAGTTTTGGTAATATTTGGCTTATATCCATGAATTGGGTCGTAAAGGCACGCTCGGTATGGAATATTCAACGAAATACAGTCTTAAGATTATCAAAGCCATGAAAATTATTTATTTATTCGTATATACACTATCCGAAGGGTTTATTACACTACTTAATGGAGACACAGGAGTAACATGTTACTTAAGTTTACTATATGACTTAACCTAGTGTTATGTAAAATCTTCTTAACTGCGCAAATTACAAAAAAATAAATCTACGATATTTATTGCACGTTCATAGTTGTTATATACTACTTGTATCGGAGATGAAAGCAACGCATTGGTTCAAGCTGCGCTCAAGTAATTCTATTTTGAATTTGATCGCATTTTAGCATAAGGTACATGAATAAGAATCTTACCAAATACATATTCACAATCTAACATCATGCCTGAAGCCAACTTCTGAATATGTACCATCTTCCGTGTACCACAAATAATTCACAAACTCCTCTAACTACATTCCATCTCATAGACAGTATACCATATTATAGATCAGTATTCAATTTTGGATCGAACAAATGCATTATACAACAGAATCATCGTATTCGCATTATTAAAGGCTCTACGATTCCTGATTATGAATTCCAAACTTTTATAAGCATTAATGACAGCATCTATATGCGCAACAAATGCGAGTCTGGTATCAAATAATATACTTAAGTCATTAAACGCCCGACACATGTTTAGTTGCGAATTATCAATGTTATACAGGTAAACATGTGGCAAAGGTTCAAGGGGTAATTCCTCGCCTATTATAAGAATATTTTGTCGTATGATGATTTCTGAAAAACCCCTTTGTTTCGAAGATACAGGGTGAACAAAATATGCAACAGTAACATTTAATTATCAAAAAGCATATGTAAAGTTGCTCAATCTACAATAAATGTTCGAAATGACATCCTCCAGCCTGAATACAAGCATTCAGTCTTCTCGTCATTGAGTGCCGAACTATTTCAAAAACACCAGGGTTGTTTCTAATTGATTATACCCAGCAATTCAATTATCCGATTTCGCAATTCGTCCAAATTCTCTACTGGTGTAGCGTAAACTAATGACTTCAGAGACCTCCATAAGAAATAATCCAGGGGGCTTAAGTCTGGGATCGAGCAGGCCATGCCTATGGTCCACCTCGACCAATCCACAGATCCCCGTATGTTGCTTTTAGAAAACCACGAGCAACCAAACTGAAATGTGGTAGTGCACCATCGTGTACATTGCAATTCTTGTCGCCAATGGTACATACTGCAGAAACTCGGGCAGTGTTTCTTCCAAACAGTTACGATAAATCTTGCCAGTCAATCTTGCTGGTTGAAATACCGGTCAAATTGGATTCCACAATTCCCACCCAAACATTAAGGAGAACTGATGTTGAAATCGATCTGCACATATCTCATGCCCACACATGGTTGTTAGGAAAATTCCGTATTGCATATCTTGTGAAACTGGCTCCATCGGTGAAAAGAATGGGTATCAGGAATTCAAGGATTAGAACTAATCTTTGCAAAAGCAATTGACATGACACAATACGTGGACCATAATCAGCAGGTAGTAGTGCCTGAACACGTAGAATGTGGTATGGATACAACAAATTGCCCTTAAGGAGTTTTCAAACTGTCCAATGACTTACATTCAAAGTATTGGTGATTAGTCGCGTAGAAGTGCTTCGATCTTCCTTCCTCTATCATTTGCAGCACATTCTCTTCCAGTTGTACCGTTCTTACTGTCATTAATCTTCCTGACCCTCCATTTCGTTTCAACGTGTCTGTTTTATGACGACGTCGATTAATGTTTTCGAAGATTTTTCGGTCGGGGATAAAACGGTCAGGAAACCGTTCAATGTACAATCGTTCAGCTTCCAATGAATTGCTATCAGCAAGTCCAAACATGAAACGCATGTCAGTCATCTTGGCGTTATCATTCATGGTAGAGGGCTTCACTAACTATTAAAGACATGTCAAACAGCCAAACGTCACTAAATGCAAACAACTGCGACCGATACCGGTGATTATCACTTAGGAGACGTATTTAAATGAAATCCACTTGCATGTTAGTAGATGAAACAATTTTTTGCACTGGCTAAACTCATTGGCGTACGACATACTTTTATTTACAGTAATTAATTCAACAAATATCGAATATGGTTGTCGCCAATTTTGTTCACCCTGTTTCTTTGAAACAAAGGGGTTTTTCATAAATCATGAGACAAAATATTCTTATAATAGGCCGAGGAATAACCCCTTGAATTTTTGCCACATGTTTACCTAACACCCTGTCACAGTCATATATGGTTTCAATTTTATTATATATATTATTCCAGCTTATCAGCGATACTGGGGAGTGGGGGTTAATCAGGTCCAAATAAATTAAATTATCTTTTAATGGGAATGTTTTTCCTTTGCCTTTGTAAAATTCAAGACATAAGAAACAAAAGGGATCACTCTGTAAAAGTTTACGAATGCTTACCATACATCTTCATCGAACATTAACTGCACCTTCGGCACGGGGAAGCCGTTGAAAGGACTGGCCACCGGCAAGGTATAGGCACCCATATCCTCGAAGACCAACCAATCGCCGACCTTCATCTCGGGCAGCATGACGTTGTCGACCACTTGGTCCAGACCGTCACAAGTGGGGCCCCACACGCTGCTTGGGCGATACACTGCGTCGGGGGCCTGCTCCAAGGGCTTCGGCTCCACGACCTGGTGATCGTACAGGATGCAATTGAAGCTGCCGTACACGCCGTCGTTGATGTAGTACATGCGGTGGGTATCAACAATGTTGCCTGGGAAAATTGAAACATGATAAGTAAATTGACTCGTTACTTCCCACACGTTTATTTATGTTCCACGATAATTTTACCCCCTCTGATTTGTATGACCGTTTAGAAAAAAAATATAAAGGGTCTAGGGTTATAGTTTTTCCATACAAAGTCTTTTTATAGATGGTCTCAAATAATGCTACCGAAAAAATTTGTATTTTTGAATAAACAGCTGTACTCGTATAAGTTCAGTGAAAATGATAGTTGCTTATGTGTTACATGGGGTTTTCGGACCAGAGCGGATCAGTTTGGTAAGAGTTAAATTTTAGACCGTCTTAACGTAAACATAAGGGCATTATTACTTCCCACACCTACTGCCAGCGAAAATTTTCGAAAATCAGATATCATGTTTTTTGGATGTTATACGAGTATGACACGTACATCACGAGAAACCATGTCACTCATTTCTGTTGGTCTGTCCGCTAGTCTCATAAATGCCTAGAACTTGAGAAATACCAATCGGATTTCGATATAATTTTACACAATGTTACTACTATGTCAGATCGCAAAAGATTTGTAGTTATTGACAATCGCTCCAGGGGCGGCGAAGAAAAGTGACAAAAAAAACAATCGATCAAACATCGTTTTTTGACGTTTCAGACGATGCTTATCATTATCGGAAATTTTTTTGTCGGGTTAGAGGTTGCAGAGAGTTGAAGAGGATATATTTCAATTTTTTCACACATCTTCCGTAACCATTTTTATACCCAAAATGATGACAAGGCAACGACTTACATTGATTAGACTTGACATTGATTTCAATTTGAGAATGTATTGTCCCTTAATCGTTTTATGACTCCAACCAGAAAGTCTAAGGTTGATAATGGTAGTTGATAAGTTCATAAAATGGGAATTTCCTAGATTAATGATACCTACAGCATTTAGTCTATCCTGCTCAGAAACTATACAGATTATCTGATTACGTAAAAGAAATTTTTGGAAGACTATAATATCCAGAAGTTTTTCATAGCTATGGACACCTTATCTGCCCACTATATTTTTTTGTACATGCTTTGTTGAATATACTGTAATATTTTTGACAATAGACATCATTTTGGTTTAGTCGATTGATGTACAGAGATTACCTGGACTAACTCTCCACGAATAGCTTTTCCCATCAACACATGATTTGGGAATATATGCTGATTGAGAAATATCAAAAGACAACTTCAGCTAAGAATAGTATAGTCTCAAAAGTAGCGATTTTCTAAGAATTCTTAAACATTACGATATATATTTTTCTGATTGAAAATGACTCCCTATCACCTCCTTCGGTTTAATCCACCCTGTATAAACAGTGACTCTAATGTAAATGAGATACAGTTCCACAAGGAACGCCATTACATCGAGACACAGCAGTAATCTTAATTTGTGAGTACAACTAAACTTTATATTTCTTGGTGAACTGGATTTTAATTTTCCACAGATATAATGGATCTTACGAAAGTAAATCAAATCGGGTATGGCTTTGAGAGGAAACCCAGAGTGAAATTGAGCGATTATGAACATCCACTACCCGTACAAGTAAGGTTTGTTAATGGGCCCTAAGGGAAAGCGATGATTATACAAGGTGGCCAGTATATAACACATTAATTTAAATTGCGCGCCATTTTTGATGGACGCATTTCAGTAGGTGGCGCCGTAGTAGTTCTTTAAAGCACATGTGTAAATTCACCATGGAGCGCTACACGATCCCACAATGCGTCCGTATTGTTAAAACGTTTTACTTGAATAATGAGTCGATTTTTGCAACGATTCGGAAGCTACGACAAGATTTCGATGGAAATAATGTGCCCAGTGTCACCACCATTCGTCAGTTGGTACGGAAATTTGAACAAACAGGTGAAGTTAAAGACGTGCCAAGGTTGGGCCGTGTTCGAACTGTTCGTACTCCGGAAAATATCGAGAAAGTTCGTGAAAGTGTAGAGGAGCGCACTGAGACGTCTACCAGAAATCGTTCTCAAGTACTGGGTATTCCTCACACGTCATTATATACTATTTTAAAAAGACTTGCATTTGCGGCCATACAAAATTCAGTTAAGCCAAGAACTACAGCCCAGTGACCATAAAAACCGCCGACAATACAGTCATGCAATATTGCAGCTTAATACCCAAAATAACGATATTTATCGACAACTGATAATAAGCAATGAAGCCCAGTTCGATATGAACGGATTTGTTAATAACCAAAATTGTCGTATCTGGGCATTAGAGGGCCCTCGTGCCATCCATCAACGACCACGACATCCTCGTCGAGTTACAGTTTGGTAAGGTGACTTTCTGACTCAAAAATCCAACAATTTACCTTGCAAAATATGTAGCTCCAGCAGCAACCAGCTAATTCAAAGATCGACTTTCCCATTTTTCGCAGTGGGAATGTACGCTTAGATTTGCTGCCTTGAAGGACATTGAAATCCTATCAATTGGTGCAATTTAAAGTTTTAAACATGAAACACGTGTTCTATCTGTGTATGAACATAAAAATTCTACATAGCCCCATATACAATCTGGTATACGGGATATATGTATATGATTGATTAACACATAAAATTCAAGAATTTGACTAAAGTAATGAAAATAAATATAACCAGACATATATATATATATATATAATCGGAAAAAGCTTCGGCCATTTTCACTAAAGATATGCAGGGTATTCCATTTAAAAAAATAAACCTTGATTCTATAGCACTCTTCTGTGGTATCCGGTATACAAAAAAGGCATTGCTTGAAAATAAAAACTATAACGCTTGTACAAATCTTATTTTTTCTAGACGTTTATACAGGTCAATAACGTTGAAACCATAAGTTCCATTTCTAAAAAAATATTCAAGTACGCAACAATACACTACACTAATGTAAAACATATCTTGTACAAAACTGAGACGTCTGCTATGACCTTTTTCCACCTCAAACACAGTTCACACTTACATAGTTGTGGATTTGCTAGAATCCCAGATTTATTTTGCTTCCCAAGCCACTGGCGAGGAAATATTGTAATCGCGCAGATTTTCGAAAACGAGATATGTTTTTTGGATGGTATATGACATGTGCATCATGTCTCTGGACCAATTGTATGGGTTTGTTTGACTGAATTGATCCGTTGAATTTCTCTGATATGCGTAACTAACTTTGTTCTAAGAGTCTAATTTGTGCCGAACGTAATCCTTTCTGATGACGTTGCGTGGAAGTGCAGAGTCAACGCACTCAACGTCATTTTGTCAAAAGTGCTCGAGTTCATTCACTGTGTAAGATTTTAGGTCAAGAACATATATATATATATATATATCATATTGTTTATTTTCCCACATATGGTTTCAAGTGAAAGGTTAGGTCTCATAAGATAGGCAATTATCTGCAATGGGGTCGAGAAGTAACTTAGTGATAAAAATTATATCAAGCTTCCTTCTTTTAAAATGGAATCCTTATCCTAAAAATTCCATAAGCGAAAATTGATTACTATACATAATTATTGTTAATATTTTGAAATAGATACCGCCGTTATACAGATTACGTATGATTGGAATATGTTAAACATAAAATATGCATCTGCATGTCTGGGCCGATGACCTTATATATGCATTTCTGTATTTCTGCTTTACTGGCTATTGCAAAAAGCTTCTCGGAGGATTAGGTTGAAATATAACCAATCTGATGTCAAAATTTTGTACGTGTTGTTATTACAGGCATCCGCAATGATGTTCATTAAAATTATAGAGGGAATATTACTGCTTTGAAGAGATGATGAAAACGACTGTACGAATCTATAGACCACTTTGAGACCAGATCAGAAGGAAACTGGGTTTCATCATACGACTTCATGTCACAAGACGCCCCGAGGCAATTTTATTTGTGGAAGAGGTAATTTATGAAAAATTCCACATAATCACTAATCAGGATTGTAACCTAAGATAAGTCTTTTTCTGAAATTCAAGAAGACTGGTGGCATATTTAACTGAATGAATTTTGATGTGATTTTTATGTTTTGGGTCCCAAATTACCCAGCCGTTCAAATGGAGTCCACAAACTCTCAGTTTGCTAACTACAATGAAAATGGCCGAATTGGTCAACGTCGAAACAGAAAAGTGAAATATTTTTTCATTAATGAATAAGTATTACTCGATTCGGATCATTTCACTTGTGATGCCAATGCCTAAGGTTTTCTGTATCACCATGTGAACCAAGGACATTCACTGATTTACCTAACAATGTAGGCCACGAGTTTATACAGTGCAAGTCAAAAATTGGAAAATTACCGAGCAAAGCTGTATGTCACACACTGAGTTAGAGACAGTAGGTGACAGCTATTTCTATTAAGTAGCATACTAGTCCATTACACGCCTATAACATTGGTGAACAAAATTAAAATAATTTTTTGTGACATGGACAAAACAAGGTGGTTATTATGTAAAACGTACCCAAAAAGCCGAAAATATCATTCGATTTTTTCTATCACCTACGGTTTTCTTGCAATAAGGCATTTTATTTGCTGCTTATACTCGTAAAATATAAGGATATGTGTGTAAGAGTACTAATAAACACTCGAATAAACATTAATCTCAGAAGGTTGTCGATGTTTTACGGCGATATGTTGCTCCTGAAGTATCTCTTAACAATGTCCAGCAATAATCAGCAAGCAAATTGACACTCCATTTGCCTTGATACCGTTTTTCCATAGCAGAAATGTCTTGGTGAAACCGTTCCCCATGTACGTCACTTACCGCACCTAAATTTTCCGGAAAAAATCGAGATGAGAATGTAAAAAGTGAATTTTGAGAGACACATTGCCGTCTTTAATTTTTGCCTCACTAAGGCCCGTATCGTCAGTCGTCCCTACAATTGTAGGGCGCCATTATGGCCTCCTTGATTGTCATAGTTTTCTACTTCTCCGTGTCAGCGCTCTATTTTGAGGTTATGTCACAAACATCTATTTGCATCAAATTGTGCTTGCTTTTGAGTTATATCATGTTTTATCAGCCTGAAATTTCCTACAATTTAAAAAGAAAACATATCTTCGCGCAATATGCTCTCTAAACATAGAGCTCGCATATAATAAACAGGAATAGGTAGGTCTTCAAATTATATATGTGCGTCATCGCATAAACGCCGAGAAATGCAGCAATATGAGATGTTACGTATTGTAACTCATAGAAGTAGATGTTACCGAATATCTGTGGGTGATAGAAAAATTCTGTTTTTAGATTTGATTTAAGGGTCTCACAATACATAAGATACACCCAAAAATTGTGATGTCACGAATCCTGTGTTTATCAGTGTAATCCCCATGCTTGTCTGGCCAATAAAACCACATGTATTGATCGATCTTCTTTACTGTAGTAAACGTTTCAATCACCTAGTTCGACGAATGTCACACAATCAGTATTCTCTGTGATCCGTCAGTATTTATTATGTAATTTGGTATTTATTGACCGTGTAGTCAGTACATAAGTAATAGGCTACTTGATACTGTTTTAAGTAGGTCTTCAATGTTAATAATTGTTATATTAAGCCCAAAAAATACTATATGTTTTCAGATATAAACATAATTTTCTTAGTCAGGAGCAAACACTGTCCGAAATGTTTGACGTCATACCATTTGTGAAAATCCTCCCAAACTTTTAAACATATAAGCATGACTTCTACTAGTTTAGATGAAAAAGATAGTAATTATCTTCACTGTATCGCCCGAGAATGTAAAAACATATCGATATACGAGTATACCCAGGGAAAGCTGTGTCCAGTGTCCAGGAAATAAATACTCGTATATGACAACACTGTGTATTGCTTGTCTCGTTTAAGTTGGACGTAACTTACCGCATTATCACCGTACGATCCCCTTGCAGATGTGTAAGAAGAAATATACAATATTAGATAAAATTATTCAGAGGTTATGAGGCATGAGTTTAGTTTTGAATCACTTCTGAAAAGAAAGATTATGTATTATTCTTTCTTTTTATGTCTATCATTATATCATAGAAGTATTGATGTTCCTCAGCTCAGTAGAGCCGAAATCTGGTTTGAAGGCAAAAAAATTACCAACCATCAACGACTCAATTTTCGGTAAATTTGTGCTTTCCGCTTTTATGGATCCAACGTCCATGATTGTTTTTTCAATACAAGACAAGTCCACCAGTAACATATGGATGACGTTTCTTTGTTTATAATTTGTATGACGTCACCTCATGGCCTATAGTACTTTCACAGTTTCGTATTGAAGAGTCAAGTAGTCTATTATTGATGTATGAGGTTACGTTGAAATTCACTCACTCTGACGGAATGATCAGTAAATACTGATAGTACAGAGTAAGTATTGATCGTATGACATTCGCCTTCAAGTGATTCAAATTTACCTTCAGAGTCAGTTTGCACAACATTACGGATGGAATAAATGTTGCATGTTAAGGTGTATGCTGAGCCGACGAAAAATCTTCCAGGTTCGGCAATAATTCGGATGTTAGTCTCAGGAAAGTACTCGTCGAGAGCGCAGTTTATTTCTTCGGCCATCTATAAAATAAATTTCAACATAAGTGGAATACATCTTCATGAACAGTTTTAGAGAAGAAGTACTGCCTGTTTTCATTACCTAGATTACATTTATGGAGCTCATAATTCGTATGAAATTATGAAATATGATTTATACGGAGAAATCCCCGTATCACAGGTGAGGTGATGTGTACGAGTGAAGCGTGCAATACGTGTGCTAGAAAGAGTGCGCCGATGGTCAGGCGGCAAGCCGCAGTCTCGCCCGTGGCCTCGTCACTCGGGTTGCTAGGCAACGTGGTGCTTCTATCTCTTTCCAACATACGTATTGTACGTTCTCTCTCGTACACTTTACGACGTCAGTGGTATATGGATTTCTCTGGACACATTTTTCATCTATACAGTTTGCCCAACAAAACCACGATAAGTCGACCAAGATACAACACCAGGAAAATTGTATACAACTCAAGAAATTTATATCTGGAATGCAACACAATAAAATCTACATATAATTTTTCTTGAATCGATAAAACTTTGAATTAAGAATAAAAAACTTACCTGCTGTATGGATTCCGCTTTCCCACCAGGGTAGCCGCCACCAATATCAAGCAACGACAGGTTGTACCCCAGCCTTTGCGCTTGTTCAAACACGCCCTTAGCAGCCCTGATCGCCCTGTTGAACGCGGCTGGCTCGCGACATCCGCTTCCTACGTGGAAACTAACTCCCACCACTTCCAGATCTAAATGGGCGGCGAGCGCTAGGAGGCTAGGTGCTTCAAGGTTTGCGTCGCACCCGAATTTGTTGCCTAGCTGGCATTGAACGTCTACAGCGTCGCTACGGATGCGGATGACCAATCTACATAAACAAAGAATATTATAGGATATCTGGACTTAACACACCCCTCAAAAGATGCATATTTGCGGAAATAATTTGTGCTGCTAATTGCTCAAATATTTCTAGTTTGTTGTTTATTATTTCAGTGATCCTTATCCGTGCCCGTAATACGTAACTTAAAAATAATATGTAGGTTTTTCGGAAAAAATGTCACCTTGAAGTAGCAGTCGTTCACTTCATGTTCATTTCTTCGTCCTATAAGTATTGCCAGTGCTATCAAAACTTATCGAGATTATATTGGACCAACAAATAAGAAATTATCTAACTGAGAAAAATTGTTTCCAGACTATCAATCAGGATTTAGGAAGGGTTTCATTTAAATATAAATGACGACATTTTCAAAGCAACAGATTACGGAAAAAATACCGCTCTCGTGCTCTTGGACTACTCCAAGGCATTTGATAAATTAAATCATGAAATGTTGACTGGTATTTTACACTATATAGGGTTTTCCGAGTCTGCTATCATGCTTATTTGCCAAAATTTAACTAACAGAACTCAATATTAGAAACAGATAAAGAGAGTTCCTCCAAAGATTTCATTCCTATCGGGTATACCACAAAGGTCCATTTTAGGTCCGTTGATTTTTACTATTTACATCTCCGACCTTTCCCAATGTCTCCGAAATTGTAGGGTACATTTGTATGCTGGCGATATTGAGCTTTATTTTTCTTTCAATCCTAACGAGTAAGTGATGCCTTGGCCATTATTTACAGAGATATAGAAAGATTAGTTTTTCTTTGAAAAGTCATGGTCTACTGATTAAATCTAACAAATCACATCTTATATTATTTCTCCGATCGGAAGACAATACTGAGCCCACTTTTGATGTAAAAATACGAAGTGAATATATACCTTGTTCAGCCACTATCAGAAATTTATGAAGAAATAATTTATGAGAAAGCTTATGCTTCTCTGAATGTTCTATATGCTCATCGATATGTCCTCCATGTTTAACTTAAAACATTGCTTTGTGAAGTACGGTCATTTTTATTTTTGTAATAGCGTATATGGGTTTTTGTTTAGACAAGATTGACATGGGCAGAATTGAGCGTGTACTGAAGCCCGGTCTAAGATTCAATTACTGTCTGGGTAAGTTTCAAAGAGCTTAGCATACTCGTAAGTTTCTTGATGCAATCTGGTTGAATATGCGATGTCGACGCGACTTGCTTGCATGCAATCTTTTTCACAAAATTTTGTTTTTTGAGCAACCGCCATATTTATTCAAAAGAACTTTATGTTTACCCGCCGTTTCTAAAAATTTTCTTACCATATTCCACGTTTACAGAATGACTGCCTTCTGACGATGGAAATCACGGGAAGAATGTTCAGGTTCTTTAGATGGGTATCCAGATGTGTCGAGATGACTCCAGTGGTGAATATTACTATTGGAACTATTTCCACACGTTTCATACCCCATATATATACTTCCTCGATTGCCACAATATCATTCTTGGAAATGTTATACTCCGTTTTTTTTATATTACGACTTAGCGGACAAGCAATATCAATTATGTAAGCGATTTTACTTTGCTTGCCTATGATTACGATGTCGGGCCGGTTATAGTCTGCAGATCGATCAGTGTGTAATTATTATTAATTATTATTTGTACTAACTGTGCTTATTGCCTAAACGACATGATGGTTTTTCCACAGATTATACAGATGACACCTGCTGTCGGTCCCTTTGATCTTCGTGTCCCCAACTGCTTACCACATTTCCCGCTTCTGTTCTTTAGGGTTCGGAGGATTTTTTAGTACTCTGTGGTTTGGCTCGTATGTGATGTAACATTTGCTCCAGAAATAGCACTAGCGGAGGCCATTTACATTCTATACTATATAGGTCGTTGATGCATTGCTCCATAGGTGGCTGTCACAGAGAGTAGGCGAGGCGTGGCCTACCGACTAGCTAGTACGCAAGTTGACTTTATACCGATTTTTAATGACAATAAAGAGAACGAATCTTTGAGACCTCGTTTAGGTAATTTTTGACAGCGTCAGCAAATAACAAATGTCGACGAAATAGTGTTTTTATGACCACTAAAGTTAACCCAGTAATCTGAGAGTGCTGACTACTGACAGTCATGAGCGGTTGCTTAGTATTTCGAATTTGATGAGAGGATAATAATTTTAAAACCGTGTTAGTTTTTTTCATAGAAAAGTTTCAGTAACATTTTTTATCCAAATCGGACAAGAAACGAATAGGTTTAGAGTCAAAGAACCGCAGAAGGACAAGTGACCACAAAACCAGCAGGACTACAATAAAACGCTACCTTGCCACATTGCACGTATAACAAAAAAACATATTTTTTAGGACATACTGTGGTTGCACTAGATAAAAAAAAACATATGTTGTTTATTCATATTCATAGATTTCTGTCGTACGTTCCATTATGTGGACCATGAGCTACTACTTCTTGAACTGGACAGGAATGGAATACGTGGCACGAAATTACATTTCGTTCCTATATTGCACTAAGAAAACAACGTGTTTATGTCAACTGTAGCAAAAGTGAAACAACAGAAATAAGCATCGGTGTACCACGGGCTTCAATCCGAGGACCTTTTTTGTTTCTGTTGTCTGGCTTTATATCTGAAGGTTTAGAATATAAGGAGAATATGGAGGTCACACCAACATCTTGATACCAGTAAAAACTAAGTGAATTGACTAGGAATTGGTGGTGATCCCAGAAGACTGGTTGACCGCAAAGAGTTAAATTATAAATTATAAGCAAGAATTTTGCAGCTTTGTGTGCATTTTCAGCAAAATATCAGGATGTAAGAAGTACCTAGACGCCACTGGGCCACTTTGTGACCAAGTTTTTTCTCTAATATATATGTTTTCTCTTAAAAGTGATGTATTACCATTAAAGATTCCTAAATTAAAACAAAACTATAATTATAAAAAAAAAATATGATTAGAGGTAGTGCAAATGATTGGCTAGAATAGATCACAAGTTCAAGAAGCCAATGTGTAGAAGTTCTACGAGAAAAATACTACAATACCAAAATTGGTCAGATTATAATGCATCATCCAGTGAGTTTAAACAATAAAAATTAATCATTTCATGAAAATTATATCAAAAATGAAATCAAATCAAAATAAGAGTATGATTTTGTCAAAAAGGATACTTAATGAATGTTTTGATATTAATGGATTAATGTTTCAAATATGGTGAATTTCCAACAAAATTGAAGTGTTCTATATTAACTACTGTTTCGAAAGTTAAGAATTCTGAGTTGTACACTAATATGCGGCTAATACAAGTAAATGTTCTGCCAGATGTTGAAAAAGTATTTGAAGAAATTATTTACAATCATCGAATTCATCGAGAGAAATAGTTAACCACATTTAACAAACTGGATTTAGAAAGAAACACTGAAATTAAACGGCAACACAAATGGTTTTACAGGACTGGAGGAGATATATGGGCTATAGAAAACAGTGACAGTGTTTTTGGATTTCAAAGGGCGTTTAAAACTATTGAAAGGGATAAATTACTTACAAAATTGCATCGCTATGGATTTAAAGAATCTGTATAGACAATTCTAGAAAAACTACTTAATTGACAGACGTCAAAAAACCAACATATCCAACTAAAAAAATATTTCTGTTGGTGTACCACAAGGTAGTAAACAGTATTAATGACATTTGTGATATTTTAGATCTTTGTAAAATTCAGATATTCTGACTTGTCAAAAATCATAAATTGAAAATAAACTAAAATTGAATGCTTCTAAAGCAAAATGTATGCTAATGGGGAAATACTTGAATGAAAATACTATCACAATTAAGATAAATGGTGAAATAATTGAAAAAGTTGAATCAATTAAATATTTGGGTATATATATTAATAGTAAACTAAAGTTTGAGGTTCACTATGAACAGATTATTTCCAAAATTGCCAAAAAAACAAATTACTTTTATAGGGCTTCTCATAGTCTTGTACATATTCCAAAAATAGTGTATAATACAATAATTCTACCACATTTACTATATCGTTCAACTATCTTGTTCACTGCCAATGAGGCTGTATTTTCAAAAGTACAAGACCTACAAAACCAAGCTATGGGAGTAATATTGAATAAAAGTACACCAACATAAAATCTAGTTACAAGAATAGCAGAGGTTGAATATAAAAAATTTCATATCTTTGGTTCTTATTTACATATTTGCAATAAAAAAGCATATTTTACCACAACAGTTAGAATATAACATAGAATAGAATAATCATTACCACAATTAATATACAAGAGGCAATATCGATTTCCATTTACAAAATTGCAATAGCAATATTTCAGAAGGGATTTAATAAACTAAATAATGATATAAAGTCTACTTGTAATATAAAGAAGTTTAAAAAAATTAAAGGAACATTTCATGGACAGTGAAAATTCTTAAAGATGCAAGTTTTGCTTTTCTGAATATTTGTACATTATCTACTATTGTAGTTTTTAAAAAAATGTAATTGTAGCAGTCATGCTAAATAAATATTAAACAAACAAACAAACCTGGCATCCGGGTAGAGCTTCTTTATCTTATGCAGTTCGGTGTCACTGTCGAAGGTCATGAGACCGACCCCCATCTCAGCAGCATGACGCAGATGGCTGGCTGGTTTCGCAGGGTTGGCGAAAATGATGCGGTCAGACGACACACCCAATCCCATCACTTTGTTGATTTCAGCCTTTGAGGCGCAGTCAAAGCCAGTTCCCAGAGCATTTAACACCTCCAGGACAACTAAGTTGTCGTTGCATTTGACGGCTGCAAAAATAAGAACAATTACTGTCACTGTTTTAATGTTCCCTTAAGCTCAGCATCCCGTAAAAATACGAACTGTTAGAAATTCAACTGAAGGTAGTAGAGAGAAAAATAAAATGAAACATTCATTGTGACATTCTGTGTGCCTCGATTTCATACACTGAGAACCAAATTTGTCCGACGGCTGTAGTTCAATGTGTACAAGAGAGACGTGTGAATAGACACATATGTTAGAGAGATATACAAGCCGGCTGGATAGCGAAGCTCATCACCACGTTGCCTAGCAACGCTGAGGCGGTAGCGCTGTCGCAAAATGTCACAATAACTCAGGATGTGTTGATTTTATCAACATCGGTGGAAATCAAAGATAATTCTAAAATAAAATAAAACACCAAGTCGCATCATAGTTGAAATAAATAATTCTAATCAAAATGAAAACTAAATATTAAATTTTACAGGCCTCCTTCTTGGGTTTGACAGTAACCTAACCTATTGTAGAAGCCTGTGCGAACATTTTCTGGTGTGAAATACTGGCTACGCGGCAGATTGCGCAATATTCTGCGGCACCGTAGCTAGGCAATGTGGTGATGACCTTCGCCCTTCAACCGGTTTTAACTCTTTCTAACATGTGTTGATACATACTCCTCGCGCTTCTCTCTCGTACACAGTAGACTCAAGCCTTCGGACAAATTTTGTTTTCCCTATATATACGTACTATATAGTTACCGTTCAATTTTATAACACTGACCATGAAGTTTTTGCAAATCATGTCAGCAGTAGCACCTAGACTACTTTGCTTTGTGAATGCATTTTGCTACAGAGTTTGCAGCTTGATATTCTTCTATAGGAAATGGAACGTGCTATTATCAGGTGTGTAAAGCAAGATGTACTAATTTAATCTAAAATCTTTATCAATGAAAAGCCGATCATAGGAAAGCGAAAATGCTATGTACCACGTATGGCACTTAGAAACGTATTTCTAAGTTTATAGTGAACAGATCAATACCTACGCTAATTTGATCTCACAGTAAGAAATATTTCTTGAAATAATCCTAGGAGGAATTATTCTTTGTTTACATCATGTACTATAATCATAAAATTCCTCCGCAAAATAGTTGCGGTTATGGTCATTAACTATTAAATATTCGTGACTACAAATGCATACTATAAAGAGAACAAGATCAGACTATTTAAAAGTCGTAAATGTAAATGCATAAAAAGGATACGACCTATCTACTTAAAACGATGGAGGATCACATAACTTAAAATTATTATATGCTTATGTTTCTTAATTTATTTTACGAAGAATACTTCATATCAATACCTATTGTTTCAAATTCAACCCTCACCATTTGGATTGCGAGAACTACCTATAGTCTAGAAAATAGCAGTTAGGAAAATTCAGGATATGTCTAGAGATAGAAGGGGAAAACGAGTTTTCCTAAAATCGTTTTTATTCTATCATTGCATTATTTGATAAGGGATTACAAAATAAATTGCATTTATACATCGCCACTTTTTTGTCTAAATTAGATTTACAATCTGACGTCGCTGTAGTCGAAATTAAAAATTTATATCTATGCAAAATTCTAATAAAAATGATGATAAATAATGGAGGGCGAGAAGCGTCAGATTGCTAATGTGCAATTTATTTTGAAATCGCATCTACCATTTATTTGGAAAAATTCCGAAAATTTAAGTGTAGCAGTTGACATTTGTCCTGTGGTTTTCACGCTGACAGAACTCCATGTTTTTCTGGTCAAATGAAACCACATATCTAGAAAATGTTCTCTAGCAAGTAAACATGGAGTTTTTTTCTAATTGCTATTTCCTTACATGAATCATTTTTCTGAAATCCCAATGGTAAGGGTCAAATTTGAGACCCAAGCTGTGTTAACAAAGGCTTAAGAATATTGATGCATAAGATTAAACGTATCGTTTCTTTTCTAATGTCTCTGCAAGTAAATATTTTCAATTTAAGAATGTAACAACAAAGCACTTAAGCTTATATTTATATTAGCTTAAAATCGTCGACCAGACCAAATAAATCGTATAGCTTTGAAAATTGATCAAGATATTCAGATTAACATACCAAAAGCACTGGTCAGATAACCATCAGCTATTAAACCTTCCTGTCGGTGTCATAAACGGCCGATATTTCGGCGGATAAATTCGCATGCAAATTCTTCTAGTATAACGATGATAAAAAGAGTATGTTTGCCCAAAAAGAAGAGACATTGGTGACTATTTATGAACAAGGTTCAAAACAAATTGGTAATGGTATTATAATAGTATTTATAATAAACGAAAAAATATTTATTTTTGCAATCCATTCTTCGCTGCTGCAGTCAAGTCATTGCATTTTCAATGTAAACACTGTAAAAAACAACATGCAAACACAAGGTTCATTGAAGCACAAGAATTCCCGCGTTTTTAGCGCGCAAGAAAAAAACACTATTTAGACGTGTGTATTGTCTGATAAATTTATGTGAAAGCACCCTCGGTCTGGTCCATTTACAATCAATGCTTTACATTTTACATCAGTAACATGTCTTTGAAGTAATGCTATTTTGGTAAGAGTGGTGGATTAATCCAGCGCGGGGCGTGTAGCAGATTATATCAAGGGGTCAAGGGGCGATTGAACATTTCTCGCATTTGCTACTTTTGCTAATTCGCCACTGTTTGGTAGGAAATAATAGATTCTCGGAATTTATTCTAAATCTGCATGAGCATTTAAATGAAAGTTATAAGGAACATAATTAATCAGTGAAACTAAACATTTTCGCACGAATACTTTTTTATGCCTCGCTCATTTTAAATAAAATTGTCTATAAGGTTGATCGACCTAATTTATGCTGAGCGTATAGTTTTTGTTTAGAATAAGAGAAGAATAAAAAAAAGATGTTTCATTAAAAAAGTGTATGTTTGCAGATATCGCCACATTTTCCGAGTAAGGAGCGTATAGTTGCATACAATATGTCTGTGGTCGGTTGAACCGGGAGTTCTATGCTTTACTCCAGTTAAAGACAATGCTAGAACAAAATAATATAATCTATTTATTACAGTCTAGCATATTCACATTTTTCATACAATACTTTGAAGTTGAGTCATTAATTTTCAGATAATGATTGTAGAAGGAAGATAAACCAAAATATGTGTGTAAAAATAAAAAAAAAATCCTCCCGACAAGTATTTCAGTGCGGACCTGTATTTCATCGTGCGGTCTTGGAGCACCGGCATGCTCTCCCCTGTGAGGTCTTAAGTCACCTGATTCACGAGCCCTTTGTACTAAATTAACAAAGGCACGAGGGGTTGGTTGCACTCAATTGGGAAACCGATCCGCATAAATCCGTGATGCCGCGTAAATAAGAATCATGTCCACAAGTTCAGCATTTTCGTAAACATGTGCCATTTTTGATTTCGTTTGAGCCACGCAACAGACACCACTATTAACTCACGCGTTACCGACTGACACTGACTGTATAATGAATAAAATAATTGTAAAAACATCGTTCCAAATTCTTTCGCTTTTTTGTTTCCGATGCGATGAACCGATAAGGCGGATTATATCCGTTGTTGCCAAACACGAGCACATAATATTATTATTGAGACAGGGCGGTACTCAAACTTCCAAAGGGATATAACTTTGTTACTTTAATTTTACCAGAAAAATGGTAAAGGAAAAAATATTTCTTTTGATCAGATCTACTCACTGTTAAAATAAATGACTCAACTTCGAAGTCATCCTGTATAATGATTTGGGACAGGTCAAGGTACAGTGAAAGGGTATTTTTATCGCTGAAAAGAATTTTGAGGTTAGTTTTTAATAAAAGACGAGACAGCTGCAGAGTGATTTTTATTCATAACAAAATTTTAACTGTGACGTGATTATAGATTTTAAAGTGTGTGTGTTTTGTCAAACTTTACCACAATTATGTGACTTGGAATACCGACTTATTGTTGGTACAAAATCATAATACATCTTTATTCGAAAAGTCATCATTTTACAACTGTGTTGTACTTTACAATAAGTTACCTCATGATGTACGATCTCTGGCTGATTATAACATGTGTAAAAAAGAGTTAAGCTAACGCTGCCTGAGCGGTGTTTTTATAATTTAAGCGAATGCATGTCGGTAATGTTCTGATTTATCTAAATTTATCTCACTTTTTGACTTAATATGCACACATCATGTGTCTTATGTGGTTAAATATTTATTTATTTATTATTTATTTAATAAATATCGGAACTATCGACCGATTACAAACTCGTTCTGTATGTAGAAGAATTCTAGTTGAGAACTCATTGTCAGAAGTGTCAGATTACGTTGATTTTCACTTTGCTGGTGGTTTGCTCCCGTTTTCTTTTTTCGCGAAAGACTTTCACAATTACTTATTGTTCATAAATAAATTTTGAATGAATATTCAATAATCTCTTCTTTTTGGAGAGACTCCTCTTTATTATTTTTTGACACAAACTACACTAGATTATATCAGAATATTAAAATTTTTACGATTGCAAATGATATCTGCGGCCGCTGGCAAGGTTTTTTTTATACTAACACGGCGACTGATCAGGAGACCGAAGAGTCTACTACTGCGGCCACCGCTGCTGCCTAGGTAGGCGGCAACACCGGCTAGGACTGTTGGTAACGGAATACTAGAACCTCTTTTATCGTTGTACAAGAAGAATTTACATGCGATTTTCTCCGCCAAAGTTTACAACAAATCATGACGTACATTTTTACTAAAGGATCAACACTTTGGAAGCTACAAGGTATCTTAATTAATGGAAATAAAGCAAAATCGCTAATAAAAAAATACAAAAAGCCCGACTACAGCAACTAGAAATAATGATTTTTTAATTGTGCTATCAAGAAGAATCTAAGGCCACCTCAAATATCAAAATCTATCAAGTAGTTTGGAATCTAACCCGTGAAGCTGAAATTTCATACTTGATGTTTAAAATCAGCCAGTCGGGACTTTTAGAACGTTTATCTGGACTCATCGCGGAATGACTCTACCAACTTTCAAAACTACATGAATTATTTTGTCTGATTTCCTTAATTTTATCAGACAAATATTTTAATACAAAAAAAGTTAACCAATGGCATCTTTAGTGTAGTGATATTTCTACGGAAGACAAGATAAGCTATTAACATGTATCAAATAAAAATGTTTTCTAATAAGACTGGTCAATTCTACATCCAAATGTTTTTTTTTTGATAGGCCATGTTCTTGTGATTTTAAGGAAATACTTTAAAAATTCACTTTGCATTGTCCTTTTTTCAACGAAACATTACTGTTTCTAGACATTAAAATAAAATTTGGAATGGATGACTTATTTGAAATCAAAATTGTAGAAAAACTAGGTTCTTGCAAACCTATAAGAAGAAACTGAGGAACACCTACTGAAATATTGACACATTAAGGTAATTGATGCAAACTGAATTTGATAGCGACGTCATGGCGTTAAAACAATTAGCAATCGTAAATTTATTGATAATTTTGAAAACACAAAATATATTGAGGAAATGTGAGCTTAAACACTAAATGAATATTTCCGTAAAAATAATTTGAAGAATGTTTTGAGTTATGTCCGCTTTATTGCATTGCCACTAGACCGGCTTTTCTTGTGAGCCTTCATCCTCTCTTAAACAAATTACCCAAGCAAGAATGATGTTACCTACCGTAGAACGGCTCGACTCTCGGCAGCATCGCCTTCCAGATCTTATGCTTCCTGATGATATCTCCCACATCGCATACATAGAACGCGTCTTCCTGGTTGTTGGATGAAACGATGTCTTTGATAACCGACCAGGTGGTTGATTGGCCGTGGAGGATGTGAATGCGTTCTTCCATGTTTGTCAATTTCATTTTAATTATCTTAATATGTTACGCAGGTGATAAATTTTTGGGTTCTTTTAAAGATAGATTTGTTAATAACGATTATAAAGTTGAAGTGAAATAAACAAGCTGAAACAAAAAAAAACACTGATCAGAGACTTGCGTATTGCGAAATATAAATTATGGATATTGCATCAGGGTCATAAAGGAATTTCTATAAAATAAAACTGTATTTCAATATTTGTAGCTAATTGCAATTAACAAAGAAAAACCCTACACCGAAAAATATAGGTAAGCTATAACCTCTCATGAGTTACCAAAATATCTATACACAATTACTGTATTTATTCCGACCAGTTTATCCAGATCAAATCTAGCCGGATAATATTAAGCGTTCAAGTAGCTTAGAACACTACAGTAAATCCGAAAAATTTGTAGGATTGACCATTTTTTTAACTTGGCCTATTCCACGTTCAGTATAAATACATAATGTTTTACTGTCATGTCATGTGAACTCACGAGTTATAACGTAAATTCACGATACGTGAAAAAGAAGTATATGTAAGAGTATTTTAGAATGGAATATATTTATCAGCCATATAATGTAATGACATATCAGCTCCGTTGAGTGCACTGTGGCAGGTTAAAAAGTGTTCCATTAACACATACAAACAACACGACAATAACGTTTGTACAAAAAAAGAGCAGCAGAAATGAACCAAAGACAAAGACAATAAAATGTTACAAAAATCAAGATTATTTGCATCTGAGAGGTTATAAAAGCATTTCTAATAGAATATTTTTTAAGTTTTTCTTAGATATTAGCAATGAATCAGTTTGTTTTAGTGTACCTGGTAATAGGTTAAGATAGTGAATTCCAGCATGCCTGGGGGACTTCGTGAAAAATATGTGTAGTATGATGGTCAATGAATATGACAATGCTTTTTGAAAGTAAATAAATTCTGCTTAATGTATACAAGGAGTTTAAAAATATATATTCCCATAACTGTTAATGAATGATTCTCAATAAATAAATATATAATAGTATTGCTCCTAGGTCCAAAATTGAACGACCAATTCTATTTTGGAGGATAAAAACATTCAGAAGCTTGTTCCCATAATATGGTGTATGAAATAGTAGAGTAAACATAATAATAATAATAGGTCAATACGATAAATTCCGTTTCAAAGTGACCAAGGCAAAGTATAATTTATTTAATTTATTACAAATTGATTTTAAAATATACTGTCACTGGCAAGCATGCTTCTGTCAAGCCATTGATTTGAGTTTTAATACTTGAGTTTGCGTATTAGCATATCGGTTCACGTAACGTTATACAGTTGTAATCACCGTTCCTGGTGGGTCAAAGTAAGACTACCACTATCCTTTTCTATATCTTCATCTCTCTCATACAAACAGATGCAACCTACCCCTGAGTATGAACGTTTGTTCGTTAAGCTCGATAACATACGTTTTTTAGTTGTGTGTCTCCGTCTCGAAAACTTTGTCGTTACGTATGAGTGCCCTCCAATCATATTTGTCAGAGTGACTTGACATCGGCGTGCAGCTTAAGTTGTCCTGTTATCAATCTTCAATATAAAATTGTACAATGCCCGGAAATATGATCAATGTAGAAGGCCGACAGCTCATGCGTACTGGAGAGAGTAGCAGATGCGCTGAAGATTAACATCCGCCCATGGTACAGAGACTCGATCTGTTTACTTATTTCAAATGGCGTTGATGCCGTAACCGCCAAGAACGGTGACTACAACTATAACACTGCGTACCCGTCTCTAATCCCGTTGCGATCCCGACCTAATATTGCGCCTAACTTTACGTCAACCGTCAGGCAGCTGATCATTACATCTTCTGAATTGTATTATCTCGGCATAAACTGACAACGTCACAACAATTGACATACATGTTTCTTACTTAATGAATATCCGCACTAGTTTTACGTATCTTGAACAGTGACATTTCGTCGATTTTTTTGATATTTCGTTTCGTAGGTTTTTTGTGACATAACGTAGGTCTTTCTACAAGATGCTAATAAGCTGTTGTACACTTGTTGAGAACTCGTTTTGTAGCTGTACGTGTTGCTTAAACCTCAACGTTTTTTAGGTTTTTTGCATAATACCCCAGCCGGACCAACGAATTCCGACCAGGTAGAAGGAGCCAGTCAAGGATTTGTTTGTTTACATATTCTCATAGTCTAAAGTGAACTTGACATACGTCAATTTTTTGACGGTTCTGTCATTAAATTCGTAGTTTTAGTGTTATTTTTTAAAAGTGCAAGTGTTCGCAGATAATTGTGGTGTTAGACGATTTCAAATCGTGTTACTTCTGACGTAATTTTCAAAGTATAGGACAAACCTAATGAAGGTAGATGTTTCCACCGATATTACGTTGATACAACGCTGTCACTTTGGTATTGGTAGACAAATGAGTCAAAAGTATGCACTAAAACTATGCAATTTTGACAACAATGCAATGTAAACATATAGGCTTCGCACCTAATCTATCCTAATTCGTTGATCCGGATAGATCCATCAAAATGCACATAGTAATATTGATGATTTATACTTTGTAGTATGATCCTAAACTCGATCTATATAAGAAAGACAACCAGCCGTGTTCAGTGCTTGATCAGTACGTCAAGAAACGGGGGCATAACTGCTCTTGGGCAGAATCTGTAGGCCCCTCATAAAGGGCCAATGCCAAACCAGGAAGACGGAGTGGGAGACAACATAGCGGTACATACAACCTTGCCGGATGTTGTTTTGTTCTGGTGTCTGATCACATAAAGTATGTGTGACTATCTGACTATGTTTGGGTTTAGTTTCTTTCTTCGATAGATGGGCTATAGATTATGCTTCATGGAAGAATTTATCAATTTACTTAATGGTTTCTCAATCCATAGACGGGTCATAAAATGTTTTGTGTGGATGCTTATCTTTTGAATACGAAGGAATAGGACCTAATGATATTTTGGCACCCATCAGATTTGAGTGCATTCAGAGATGTACAGATATTTTTTGTTTATAATGTTTACAGGATACTCAAGATATGATACAATTGCTTGTAGTAATGTAATTCAAAAACAAATTCGCAAAGGTGGTCCAAAGACGTTCAAGTCAATAACAAGTAAGATATATAGACATAGATGTCTTCTTATCGGAGTACAATACATTAGAATAATATGATTTTTCTACGCGATAGACAGTTATTTACTATTTTGAATACGTTGATAAGTTAATGGTCATAATGGTTCTCAAGTAGAATACAGAAAAAGAGAAAAAGTGCCGATCCATATTGTTTATGTAATGTATTGCGAAAATCGAGAGACTCGGAAGATGGTAAGCTCGACAACAACCCAAACTTAAAATTTGGCATAACTATTACACAAATGTTTTTTTTTTTTGTTTCAAGCATTTTTTGACATGCGGCAGTAAAATGGGTATTGTCTCCTCAAAAGAAAAAGAAGTTTAAAATTTCGTACCAGTAACGACTGATGCAGAAAAAAACTAAGTAATTACGAGACTAGTGACTTGTTTTACTTCCCACGGCTGCTGGGGAAATATTGTAATCCCGAAAATTTTTGAAAATTTGATGTTTTTTGGATGTTGTCTGACATGTACATCACGGAAAACCATGTCAATCATTTCAATCGATCTGTCTGTCAAGGACGCACAAGTAGTTTTTGAAAATCGGTCCAGAAGGCCTAAAACGAAAAAAAGTAAAAATCGCTCAAACTTCGTTATTGACATTTCAGAGGATCCTGATGATTTTTGAAAAAAATAGAGTTGAAAAAACTTGGTAGTGGGGGTTATGCGGGGTGGGGAGGATGTATCTCAATTTTTTGATGATAGTACATTGATTCGCTCCCAAGTTCGGTAATTCTACGTACCTATTAGACATATTTCACACATCATAGGTTCCTCCATACAATAGTCCCCAAAACTACCGACCGCGGCTGCACTACCGGTACGTCAGGGAAATAATGTCTATTGACTAATTGTATGGACCTGTTTGACTGACTTCTCTGAGAGCGACTAGTTTGTGCAGTAATCTTTTATAAACGCATAACGGCGTTGCGTGGGAATTACAGAAACAACATACTGACGTAAAAAATACTTACGAGGCAGCCTGTGCTCAGGATCGCACAGGTTGTATTTGTGTGTGTTTTAAAATGTGCTAATTGGGCTCGCTACTGATGACGGCCCGGCTAGCAAACCCAAGGCGGCTCGCCGTTCAGGAAGATTTTCCAGTTGTACGGAAGTAGAAGGCTGCTAGTATCTGGGCTAGCTTCGTCCACGTTATGACCCTGAAACCAACAAGCTAAATTTAAAACAAATGTCGATTATGCCAACTGCCGTGTCTTGTCGTGTCTCATTATGTCTCCCAACAATTATGTCATTTACGTGAGGACATTATATTCTTAAGTCTCATACACCTGCAACGTTCCTCATTTGCCGGTAGCCGCTGATTCAAGAGCCAATAAAAATATAAGATTGCACATTCATGTAGGTACAGTTTTGTATGGCGCTTTAGCGCGTAATTTGTGATTAGTATTCCTTAGTTTCTTGTCTGATGTGTTTCTAACAATTCTAATTAAAAACAGTAAATTAAACATTACTTAAACATGTACTGGGCAGCGGTGGGTGAGAAGAGCAACGACGTTTCAAATTGGCGCTTCTTCAGTTTTGCAAAAACAAACAAGTGTGCGAAGAATGAGTTCAGAAATGTTATCAACAGCGCAAATTTAACGTACAAACCGCAAAGATATGTTCGAAGCATTTTGTGGAAAGTGGCTACTATTTAAAAGAAAATACTTTGGTATTACCTCAAAATAAATAGAAATTGACAAGTGATACAATACATCCCCTTAATTCGTTAGCGTAAGTGCCGATGCCAAGCTTTTTTTGAGATGTAAAATGTATTTCAAAATCTTAATGCTAAATACAGAAAACTACAGATATTGGGAAGAGAAAGAAAAATGATGAAAATTGTAAAACAAACTCAAAAACTGTTTACCAATACAAAACAATTTTATTAACAGCTACACTTAAAAAAAGATTAAAAAACCACTTAATGAAATTTTATACAAAATTATAAAGATGTCATATAATATACTCTATCCTGTTCTCCATCCTTTTTCTGTATAAAAAGTAAATATAACAAATTACATGGTTTATAAAGTCTTAACTTTGTTATTAAATAGGGTGGGCGCTGCAAGTCTCAACATATGCCACTAATGCACAAATGTATTAGTTAAAACCAATTTACATCGATAAAAAAGTCTTTATACTTGGAGCTCTAAAGAAATTTCAATTTGAAAAGCTATAAGCGCCTCTTCAATTATTAAGTCTTGAGTTATTTGGAACCTTTCAACTTGTCTATTGTTAATCGATAAAGTGATAACTTTATAACGGCAATGTATTCTGCAAACACTGATATAGTTCACTAAATTGTATCGGCAAAATAGCAAAGTATAAATAAAACATTCCAGATAATAACATAAAAAATGTTAGGCAAATATTCCAGATACTCACAAAAAATTCGAACGCGAACTGGGCATATCTTCTCGAGTCAAAAGTATAATGCCAATAAATGTACAGCCAATAGAAATATTAGATTGCAAGTTAATGTAAGGAACGAAGTCTTCTGTTGTACATCTGGGACTTTCCAAAAGACAAAATCCAATAAATCGACTCCCTGAGCAAAGTTTCATCTGTTGACATACAAATGTTCTAATGGAAAAATTTTCTATTAGAGCTTTTATAATGTGAGTGACAATCTTAAGATTGCAATAAGGAAGTGCCCAAGGATATTTTTCTACAGGGCGGAATGTTAGATCTTGTCAACTTGCTGAATGGCTATTCGTCAAGGTGAAAGTCGTAAACTGCAATATTTTACATGACCAAAATTTTCTGGATTCGAGAATTGGATCCTTGGTGTGAATACCGCATACTGGTTGTCCCTGGTAAGCCAGACAACTGGTGCATTCATGCCGATAGAGATATTCATAGTTACCAAATTATCGTGATATAATTGCATAATGATCGTTGAGTTCATGTTGTATATACAGAATTGGTTACCAAACAAAGTCAGCATAGGTATATATCTGTACTTAAGCGAGATGACCTTAATGATAATTTTGTTTAAGACAATCTGTCAGGTTTAAAGTATATAAGGCAAAACCAGGACAAAAGAAAAATCGTAAAGACGGGATCTGCAAAGATGACAAACGTGATATGTAGGTGATCTTTTCGGAATTGTGGACTAGCATTGCATGCTTGCAATCTGCGAATTTGTCTCAATATGCAAATTACTTTTGGCTTATTTTTCTGCCCCCTAAATTGTTTATATTTCAAAAAAATATATTTTCAGAGCCTACGAACTAAGTGGAAGAGTTGAAAATATTTCAATATTTCAGGAAAAAAAATATATGATAATATTTTGGGGATGCATTAAATAGTTCATTTTTACCTGAGAATGTAGGGTACACGACACTTTATTTACCACACATAGACTCATGAAAAATCCTTTAAATATAATACTAAATGTACCAGTTGGTCATTGAAGCCACTGGTAAATAAATAAGTACAAGCTGAATAAAACTAGAAAATATCACAGTCACAGGCACTAACACCAACCAGAAATATTTTTATTAAAAGATTACCCATGCTCCAATATCAATTTATATGAATGTGAAAGCCCCCACCAATTGAATCGTTATCAAATTTTATCACTATCCGTAACCTCTTCTGAACTGTATAGCCCAGTAAAATAGTAGATACAATATTCGATGTGAATAGAAATAAGCGAAAAAGGCACCACCAATTTTATGAGGTTTTTTTATTTCTCAACAAATTACAGTTCCAAAATTGCATTTTTCCATATGTTCGCTCAGGCAGAGATCAAATTGTGCTTTTATGAAAAATCTAGGCAATCATCTTGAAGTATATTCAAAAACCTTTAAAAGCTAAATAGCTAAAAAGTTAATAGATTGAGAAATTAGCTGAAGAGGGTTCAAATTTACTTATTGTTAAGTAAGCAATAGAAGCTCGATGAACAAAGCTAGTATGCTTTTTAGTACACCGCGACAGTAAGAGAGATGTTCTATAACTATTGTATTGTATGTTAAAAACATTAACTTTTAGTACCGTTAAATCTGGTGCCAAAGGTGCTCTCATTATTACCTTATAAACAAATATAATTATTCTGTTACATGTACTTGTAAGAAAATTCTACCCGTTTATCCAAATAGCCAGTATTTTTTGCTGACCTTGAAAAAATGAAACTGTACAAACTCAATTCTGACCATAGTTAGTATTTTTCATGAAATTGATTATTAAATTTGATTTCAATACTATATTTCAATTAAATTTTTGGTGAAGCACCACCTAGCCTTCAACAAAAGCAACTATGGCCGTATGCTCGCTGCTAACTCCATCATGATACAACAAGCATGACATAAAAAGGTTCTACCAACCTCAGACGTACTTTTTGTAGGGGTGCTTAAGCTCGTGAAAATAATGATTTTGAGCCACAAGTCTTAATAAAAAAATGTCTCTCGTTAATATGATGCAGTATCTTGAAGTTCGATTTTGAAATTCGTGATTTCTCTACAGCTCAATCAGATTTTGCGATATCAAAACTAAAACTGGGAATCAAGAATTTTAACATTAAACTATTTCCAAAACAGTCGGTGGAGACATTAATAGGCTACTTGACTCATATCTAATCTCATAAAATAAATGAGTATTTCTTGCATTATTTGGCTAAGGAATATATCGATTTCTATTTTTAAAAGCGCAAGATGGATATGGATATATATATATAATTAATTTAAAAAAGACACGTTTTAATTTTTAATATGAAACGGTAAAAACGCTATCGGGCATGATGTGACGTCATACAAATTGCAAACAAAGAGACGTCATCCGCATGATACTGATGGACTAAAGTCTACTTTAAATATTTCTAAAAATACTATTAATCAAAGTAAAGAATTATCGTTCTCTCATTTTATTGAAAAAAACAATCATGGACGTTGGATTAGTAAAATCAGAAAGCACAGAAAACTGACAAATTGATAGTTGGATTTATTTGTACCTCAAGATATTTTCTTTGTAGTAGAAATATATTATTGCTTCTTTGAGGCATGCATATTTTTATTGTATTTTTTTTGTAATAAATCAAAATTAGATTATTTCAAAAGCCTTCTTTGCTCAAGACTTGGGACATCGACTTTGATTGACATCATCCCAAATATTTCACATTTTTTAATTTTATGTATTGTTTTCACTTTTTTTTAATGAAATCAAGTTGATACATTTGTCATTGTCGCATGTAAAGTATTTTAGTTTCTAAAAATAATGTATCAAAAGTATATGCGATCTTTTCTTGACCTCGATCCTATCTTACACAGTGCCGTGATAAAGTTATTTGCTTTATGATGCTTTGCTCTTATATAACATTAAATTACAAGGATTAAGTGTTCGTTATCCAATTTCACTGGACTAACATATTTCAATTTAGTAAGCTAGCAGAGGAGCTATAAATCCGTAGCATTGTATGTAGGTATATGTGCGAATACTACATAAAAAATTACGACGGGTAGTACAATCACAAAGTCTTCAGATAAGAGGCTGGCACACTCGTCATATGAATTTAAGATTATGGCTCAATGAGTTCTTTTAATGATAGCGACTTCCTAGAAATTCGAAACACTGTTGATTAATATGATCATACAAAATGGTACTAACCGAAGTTAAAAAGTAGGCTACTAAATTAGTATTCACTGTAAATACCTCAAAATATCGGAGAAAAGCCAAAAATATTTAAAACCAGAGGTGTTCAAGTTAAGAGCAGGAAGAGGTACGTCCGTGGACCTGTTGGCGATAGTTTCCAGAGCCGTGGGAGTAATCTTCAGCCATTTTACCATATATTCCATTTTGTCATTTGGACATTTCGTCAATTGTGTCAAATCAAATTAAGAAACTAGTCTACAGAGTGTATAGGGTAATCGGGAAATAGCCGCTGGAATAAGGGAACATGAGTAGGACTGTGCGAAAGAAGAATAAAAACATGAAAGATCCTGAAGATGGGGATAATGTAGAAAAATACAGTGATAACAACGAAGAACTGCCGGACGGAAAAGAACGATGGTCTTGCCCAGCCTGTTGTAAACAGGGACGAGTTACCCGAAGCGGATCCACATGCGGTGCTCGTTCAGAAACCACTGCTCCTTTACAACCAGATCAGTCTACCCCTACCGACACTCTCACCCTTATACTTAACCAATTATCAACTATGGCCAGTGACATAAAGGATATTAAGAACTCTCAATCTCAACTCAGAACTGATGTTGCTTATTGTAGAAACTTGCTACAGCAACATTCGGACTCGATCTCTCGGCATGATGACTTAATAGCGGCCTGCGAAACCAACATACAAAATATCCAGGTTACTCAAACAGAGCTGTCTTCTAACATTGCTAATATTGAATCGAGACTTGCAAGATCTATGGAGATGATGCACTCAGGCAACGGCGCTTCTTCTACCCCTATTGCCCCAAGCTCCCAAGCTGAGACAATGGAGTTATTTAGACGTTCCCACAATATCATTCTGAGGGACATAGCTGAAGGTAACGATGACATAAACATAGTATCAGAGATAATTAGGCATATTGAACCATCTGCCGAAAATCACCGACTCAGCATCACTCGCCTTGGCAGAACAACTTCAAGCAATCGTTTAATTAGAGTTGTGTTTTCCTCACCTATTATCGTCAGCAACATTCTGCGGAAGAAAAACTCCATCCTTAGCCACCCCACGCTTCGTCACGTAAAAATCTCTGACGACAAAACCAGAGGTCAAATGCAAGAATTACAACACCTTCGCGAAGAGCTTAGACGTCGTCAAACAACAGGCGAAAGTAATATTACTATAAAATACGTTCGTGGTAAACCTTCTATAGTACACACAGCTACCCAGGAGATCACACCTTCAAAAAACTGATAAATTCTGTGGCAAACTGGACGGTTTGTTACACTAATATACAATCTCTCTTTTCTAAGCTACTTGAACTCCAAGCATTTGTTCGAGACAATAATCCAACGTTCGTTTGTCTTACTGAAACATGGCTCCATTCCAACGTGTCCGACTCTTCCATCAATTTGCCTGGATACTATTTATACAGAATGGATTCACCACGCACTCCTGGTTTTGGTGGAGTATGCATTTATGTTCGCACGGAAATCGCGTCGGCTTTCTCGGTATCTCCCTCTTTCAGTCCTTTCGATGGCATTGACAATCTATTTTTGGAATTGAGGTGCCCAAATTTCAGCTTCACGATAGGCTGCATATATCGGCCACGGCCCTGTTTGGGAGACACACACCTGTGCAGTCTCATTTCAGATCTCTTAAATAAAAACACCAACCTTTTCATAGCTGGTGACTTCAATCTACGTGACATTAGCTGGCCTATGTCAACCATTCCTGAATGCAATTCTTCTTCTGCTGCTTACATCGACTTGCTACGCAACTCTAGCATATCTCAACTTGTTGATTGTCCAACGAGATTCAGGGAAGGACAGACGCCTAGGGCTCTGGATTTGATATTCGTTAACGACGCAGACTTTGTTTCTAATTTAGATTATTTGCCACCTTTTGGCAAGTCTGACCATTGTTCACTTTTATCTTCTCTCCAGTTCAATATAAATAGTCGTTCTACAACCGATAAGTTTAAAACCATCAAAATTGTAAACCACGATGCTCTTAACCAAGCCCTGTCTGAAGTCAACTGGCCTGCTTTGCTTAACAACCGTAGCACCCAAGATATGTGGGACACTTTCGCTCAACGAGTCCTAAGCGAAACGGCTGACAATACTGTTGAAAAGAAGGTATACTGTGACCCCTCAAAGCCCTGGATCAACTCTAACATATCGAGGATGCTTCGTCACAAGAGATCTTTGTGGCAACGGTTTAGGAGGAGTGGCCATTCACAAGATTACGTGTCTCATCGATCCTTTTCTAACCTCCTATCTAGAACGTTACATAATGCCAAACATGCTTATGAACGAAAACTCGTTACCTCCAAAAATAAGAAGAAGCTGTTTCGGTATCTAAGAACAAACCTGAATTCCAAAGTTTCATCACCTCAGATCCGCGACGCTGACGGTCATCTCCACATGGATGCCACCGAATCTGCCAACTTACTGGCAGAGTCCTTTAGTGATGACTTCGTCGATGAGCCTAATGGAGACCTTCTACCGACCACTATCTGCCATAGGTGTCCCAACAGCCTTTGCGAAGTTGAGTTCCTGCCTGAAGATGTATTAATGCACCTGCGAAATCTGAAGACCTCTTCCTCCCCTGGTAAAGATGGGATGACGGCTGCTGTACTTAAAAACTGCGCTTCAGCACTGGCCCTACCATTAAGCTTGATATTCACATCGTCTTTTAGATCTCATACCCTACCCTCATGCTGGCTTAGTGCTTCTGTTACTCCTGTATTCAAAAAGGGCGACAAATCCTCCGCTAAAAATTATCGACCAATAAGTCTCGTTCCTATCGCCGCCAAAATAGCTGAAAGAATCATATTAGATAAGCTCCAGTCATTTGCTTTCGAAAATGACCTTATCCCTAAGAATCAGCATGGATTTCTCCCTGGTCGATCAATAATGACCAACCTTCTCCACTCTCTCAACGATTGGACTCAGTATCTGGACACCAAGACTCCTGTTGATATAATCTACTTAGATTTTTCTAAGGCTTTCGATCGCGTACCACATAGAAGGCTTCTGTTTAAGTTGGAATGTATGGGAATAAGAGGCGAGTTGTTACTGTGGATTAAGGCTTTTCTCACCGGGAGGACATTCTCTGTGCGCGTCAGTGATAGCCAGTCTCACCCTCATCATGTAGCAAGTGGAGTTCCTCAAGGCTCTGTCTTGGGGCCAGTGCTGTTCCTTCTGTATACCAGTGACCTGCCCGCATTGATTTCCTCCACATGTTCAGCTTATGCCGACGACACCAAGATTTACAATACTGTCGTAAATTCTGCTATGCTTCAACGAGATCTTGATACTGTTTGTCAATGGTCAGTCAGTTGGCTTTTACCCTTAAATCTAACCAAGTGTTGTGTCCTTCACCTCGGGAAGACAAATCCGCGATTTACATACAAGATCTCTGACCACAACATCGAAGCAGTTTCGAGCCACACTGATCTGGGCGTTGTAGTCAACGATCGTCTTTCCTGGTCAGAGCATATTCACCACGTTACATCAAAAGCCAAGAAACTTCTATATATGCTGGAGAGGTCTTTCAAAGGATCCGATGTCAAAACTTGCGCTTACATTTACAAGGCATTCGTGAGGCCAATTCTTGAATTCGCTGGCCCGGTATGGGACACTGTGCTTCTGCGCGATAGAAATCTCGTCGAATCAGTACAGCGTCGGGCTACTCGTATCCCTTTTGGAGCACGAAGACCAAGCTATGAAGATCGCCTTGAATTATTCAACCTGACCTCATTCTCTGAGCGAAGACTTCGTGGCGATCTTATAGTTACGTTCAGGATACTTCATGGTTTGATGGGCACCAACCTCATGCATCTATACCATCTGTCGCGCAGCAATCTACGCGGACACAGCTTCAAACTGCATAAGGAGCCATTTAAAACAACAGTCCGACAGTGGTTTCTTCCCAACCGCATACTCAACGCCTGGAATAGCTTACCTGAAAGTGTGGTTGGTGCTACTTCAGTTAATAGCTTCAAAGTGCAGTATGATAGCTGGAGGAGTGTACAAACTTTATAGCTGTGAACTGTATTTTTTTTTTATTTTTTTCTATTTGATGTATTTGTGTTACGTGTCCGTACACTATATTTACTGCATGAGCTTATAGTACTGTGTACTCTGCTCATCTCAATTATCATAATAATAATAATAATAATTTGATTGCTATTAATTCGGTCAGTCTAGGAACCTTGTAAGTCCCATAATTTGAATAGGCTACTTGACTCATATCTAATTTTATAGAATGCAGAAGTATTTCTTACAGTCTTTGTCCTAGAACAACGAAATATATCGATTTCAATATTTAATAGCGCAAGATGTATACATATATAAGTCCAATTTAGAAAAACATGGTTTTTATTTTTAATACGAAACGGTGAAAACACTATTGGCCATGATGTGACGTCATACAAATTATAAACAAAGAAATGTCATTCTTATGTCATTCGTGGAGTAACGTTTTCTATAAATATTTCTAAAAAAACTCATTATCAACGTAAAAAGTGATCGTTTTATTGGAAAAAAAAAACAATCATTGACGTTGGATTCGTAAGAGCAGAAAGCGCAAATCAGTCGAAAATTGACACATTAATGGTTTGGTAATTTTTTTGCTTTCAACCCAGATTGCTACTCTGCTGAGTTGAGGAACATCAAGACTTCTATGTGAGAACAGTGCATCTGATATAATGATAGACATAAGAAAAAATAAGTAATACACTTAGATAATATTCCTTTTCGTTTCAGAAGATATGCAAGACTAATCTCATGCGTCAAAACCTCTGTATAATTTTATCTAATATTGTATTTCTTCTTACACATGATGATAGGTTAGCTCCAACAGTAAAATGTAAAATATGACCCGAACAAAAGATATGCTCCAAGCAATACACAGTATTGCGTATATTTATTACCCTAGGCAGGCTAATCCACAGCTTTCCTGGAGTTCTTATCGATGTGTTTTTACATTCTCGGACGATACAGTAACGATAATTACTATATTTTTACATGTAAACTAGTAAAAGTCATGTTTGTATGTTTAAAAGAATCAGAGGTTATATTGTCATCTTGTATTGCTGTTTACAAGTAATATGACGTCAGGCACATTAATATGAGCGAAACATGGCGGACAGCGTTTCCTCCTATCTAGCAAAATGTATTTATAAATTGAAGTTTTACGGTCTTTTAGGTCTTGAGAATATAGTATTAATTTTTTTTTTTTAATAACTTTCACAGTTTATTAACAATAATAATGGGCAACGTTCGAAAAACTGTTATGGACGTTGTTTTAGCAGGAAATAGGGCTACTGGTATATAATTTACGAAAACGAATCATTTTGTTCAAATTTTTCATTGCTCATTATTGAAAATTTTACTTAATACACTGATTTATTAACATGCCACATGTTTTAATGTTTTTGATGTTACATAGGGGAAACCCGGCGGGCCTTGACGGTCGTCGGCGCTACTTTAAAAGAGGAAAGGATGACTGCGGGTGCATACCAAGGTAAATTTTTATAATAAAATAATTTTGATTAGCGATCTAGAATGTAAATCGTTTCTTATTTTGGTACTCAGCAAGTATTTAGTATTTTTCGTCGATATTGTGCTGTTGAATTGTTGTTGGTGTGATTGTTCTTGAGTGCCTTTCTTTATCAAGGCTGATAATGGACAATAAAGGGTCATATGCGACCATTTTAATTACGAAAGCAGTGATTTTAATTCATGATGAGGTCAACAATAGTGTGGAGCTGGTCAATACTCTATAATCGCAAAATACATTGTGGTAAGCGAATAAATTATTGCAAGAAGAGGTCATATCATGGAAGATGTGCTGCAGCTGTAGAGAGCCCAA